CAGGGGAGGGAAGGGGCTCCGGAGGCAGCGGGAGGCGCCTTCTCCCTGCCTCTACTAGACAGCGCCTGTGTGTGTCTAGCAAAGCATCTCTCCTAGAACACGCCCTAGTACCTGCTCTCAAGATCCTCGACCTTGTCAATTTTTCCTTTTTGGACACTTCTCTCCTCTGTGACGGAGGTCACCTCACTGGGTGTTGCTCATGTCGAAGGCAGCTTTGGTTGATCTGCGTATAAAGGGTGGCCTAGGACAGGTCACGCTGCTGAGAAGACTCTGCCCAGCAAGTCCAGCAAGGTGAAACCTATCAGTGAGGTCTCGTGAAGAAGCCCCTGCAACAGGTAATGCTCTTCTCTTTGGGATTAATGGTCCAGCTTCAGCTCACCTAAAACAAATGATGCTGTACCTCTCCCATCTACACCCAGTGGCTGAATTCAGGGGTGGAAATGATGCATTTCATTTCCCTGTGACACTCTGAGAATCTCAAGCCCAGCTTCAGGACAGGCCAACCAAGGTGCCGAGCGATCATAGAGCTGCCAGTGATGTTTAAGAGCAGAAGCTGGAGATGCCCCCTTCCCAGATTTACATGTGCTAGAGCCAAGTCTAAACAAGTGGAACGAGTGGCACTAGGGTTCAAGGAAACCTGTTGTAGCAAAATTGCCAGCATGGCATTGTTGGTACCAGGAACTGCAGCCACAGTGGTGCTTCATGGAGCTCAGCCCAGCACAGGACTGGTGCTCAGGGGAGCAGGGGTTTTTGGGGGTATCTGAGTTTCCCCAGGAACTTGGAAAGGCAGAAGAACATGCAAGGATGCTTGAGAAACCTCATCAAACATGACAAAATGCCTCGAGGTGCTAAAAGAGAGACATGAGGCCAAAAGGAAACCCTGGTCAGAGCAGTCAGGAAACCTCACCTGCGTGGCCAGCCGTGGGAAGAGACATTTTGGAAGGCTGTGGGGGCTGTGGAAGAAGCAGGGCCATGGCCAGCCCTGTTCTGCTGCTGGCAGGAGAGACAGGAGTCTGTGCCTGCTGTGAGGTGACTTTATGACAGAAAGGAGAATGCACAGACCTAATATTTCTTCCCTTCTTTGGACGGTAGGAATGTTTTAATTGAGAAATTTGTTTTAATTACATTAGGTGATATCACAGTCTATTTTACAATTTCAGGGTAAGAGCACGCGTGGGCCAATTACACAGAAATCCAGTGAAAGGATAAAAACCTACAACATGAGAAAAACAAAAGGTTAACTTAATCTCCCAAAAATGAAATGTATCGAGAGTTTGGTGTGAGTGGAAATAGGAAGTCACACCAGATCCAGAGATGTACAAAGGATGAGACTAACAATTTACAGTATTGGTTCTGCATGACCATCGTTTGCCCATGCTCAGAGACAGCCTCTACTCCCCAGTGCACTGCTGAGCAGATGGTCGTGGTCTCTGAGGGTTTGGTCTGGTCTTGTCAAAGGAGAAAGTAAAATAACTGATGGGCAAAGGTCACAACCCACGTTGAGCTGGTCCCCAGGGTCACCGCCTACAGGAGTGTCTTCCACTGGATAGTCGGGGGGTTCTGCACCAAGAACTGTATGGAGGAAAACTAAAACAGCTCCAAAAAGCCCCATCTCAAACGTAGAAAAGTCTCACTCTGGAAGTGCTTACGAGAAGGTCGTCATCATAGAATTTGGTTTCTATAATAACATTACCACTGTGGAAGGAGAAGAGGAGAAAGAGGCAGCATTAGAAAAGTGCACAAACAGCAGAAAAGGGCTGCTCCTCTCAGTGCCCTGACAAGCCTGGGCTGATACCTCACGTGAGCTCTGGCTTGGCACAGTGTGAAGTGAGCACCGTGGCTGATTGAGGGCCACCAGGGCCTAAGGATCTCCCCCCACCCCTTTCCTCTGTGGAGCAGTTCCCCCACCCGCCCTTGCCCTTCCTGTTCTGGGCACAGTACCCCCCAGGCTGCAGGGGCTGCTCACAAACAGCCAACTTCTGTGGCTAAAAATAAATGAGCAGTCCCAGCACCTTCAGGCTCCTCTCTCTTGAAGTGAATTGTGAAGGCCGATGGGAATTCTTTTTTTATTCCCCATCTCTGTCCTCTAATGCTGAGCAAGCTACTTCAACCAACTTCACATGGCATTTCCGTCAAGAAGTGCTTACATGCAAACACACAAGCATATTTTATACAAACTACAATGGAAATGTAGATGTGGGTGTGACAAAAGCTCTGATGATTTAACTGTCTGACTTTGAGATTTTGGTAGACAAAAGTAAGACCTTTGGGGCCATTACAGCACCTGGACACCTGAGCAATGTGATCTGACAATGTCTAAATAATCTGGCTCTTGAAAACCAAAGCAGCAGTTCCACCCCTGCTGTGGCTCTTGGTATCTGTGACACTGGCAAAGCTGAACCTGGCAAGGGTGTAAGATTTTTGCTGTGGCATGGACAATGCCTGAATTCAGATGTTAGGGAATGTTCTCAGTCATCCTGGGAATCCTTTCTGTAGAGTGCCTTGGTTAGCACCAAATAGAGCACCTCCATTCTCTTCTGCTATGGAAACACTGAGGCAAACGTGAGGTCTTTTGGAATATCAGAAAGTGAGGGGCTCCCCAAGTCTTGGTAGCTGAAGAAGAGCTGATTTCTTTGGGGTGGTGAATCTAATGAAAAGCCTCAAGAACAGCTTTACGACACTTCTATGAATACAAGAGAGATTTGGGCTGCCCACAACAAGTAGACAGACTCCAGGGAAAGAATGGGACATTGGAAAAATCTTCCAGGTCACTTGAGAACCGAACGGTCACAACTCCCAGTCCTGAAAATGCCTTGATTCCATGAGATGGGCCAACTTGTCAGATGTCTTTGTTTCTTTACTCTGCTTCCCAAATCTGGCTCCTCATGTCTTGACTGAAAGCCACCAGCTCTGGGAGCCAAGGACATGTGTAGCACTTAGGGGGTTCTGAGCAGACTGTGCTAGGGAGCACTATTCAAACACTCTCTTCTGAGTCCACTCTCTCTTTGAAGCGTGCTATGAATAGAAATCACTGATGGTAGTTCCCATCCTGGGGCCTTCTTTATGCAACTGGCTTTCCTCCAGACAGGGAACGAGAGGGAAAACGCTGGAGAGGGAGGTCTTCCAGAGGACACAGTGACCTTGCGGTGGGACTGGCTGCTCCCTGTCTGCCTCTTGCTGGCAGCAGGATTCCCATCCCCTTCTGTCTCTGCTGGCAATGTGCTCCTCGTGCACTTGCCAGCACCCATCTAGCACTGCAGGGAGGGTGGCTTTTTGTCGGTGATTACAGCTTCCCAGGGGCCTTTTCTGTCATCCCACCACAGCCTGAGACTCGCTGCCCACACTCAGAGCAACGCCCAGCACACATTACTCTGACCCAAGGCCTGGGGAGTGCTGACTTACTCAGAAGTCAATGTACAAACAGTGGCCAGGACTGGATGTTTCTGAGGAAGGTGTGTGAATTCCATTACAGGTGACTGTAAAATGACTGTTTCCTACCTGTTAAGGGTGTTTTATCCCCAGATACAATGCTAAATAACTGAATGCATACCTTAGAATCCGATTTAAAAGGCACAAAGCTTGGCAAAATGGTGCAGCAATGAAACAAACTCTAGAGCAGCTCTTGTGTGTGATACATTGCATAAAAACAACTGCCTTGGACAAGTGTCAACGATCAACAGTCAGATTTGAAAAGGGCCCAAACACCTCTACTTTTTTTTTTTTTTCTGGATGTAAGGAGTATTAAGCTGCAAAACAGTTTAAAATCATTTCATGGCTCACCTTTCAAAAAATTAAGCAACTCTAATAAAGGATCAGTTCCACTTTCTCCGATCTTTTATTTCTATATTAATGCAAATTGGACCTATGGGAAAGCAGGTAATGAGGTTGGCTTAGCCCCTTTTATCTCTCAACAGCTAACAGTAGCGAAGGTGATGCAGCTGGTAGCAGCTCCCTCTCCTGGTTCCCACTGTGGCCCCCGAGGAAATGCCACACATTGCTTTTCCTCTGCCTGCTCTCAGATTCTGTAAGCCCAAGGCACTCACGTTAAAACGTTAGCTGGCATCATCTGTGATTCAGGTGCTGCCTCTATCAAGGACTGCCAAGTGTTTGTGGAGTTAGGAATCACAAAACCGAATTCAAAGAACCATTCTGCAAAGTAAAAAAGAAGATCCAGAGGCATTTGAAAGAAGTTAAAATCCACAAATGGTCCTTTTGCTTTTCACCCGACAGGCTGGGGAACTCCCTAAACTGTCCTGCTCTGCTGCCAACATTTTCCATTTAAATTACTTTGTACAGCTTAAACTGCACTGAACCCTGCCCTCCTCTTAAAGCAGATACTCCCTTTCTAAAATAGCTGATGGTAACGATAAAGTCACACCACTTCCTTAGCATCCAGTGGAAATCTCATCACACCTAACTGGGAACGGGGAAACCACACTCCCCCTCTTGCAGGCATCCCCCGGCTCCAGTAGGGTCTAGGTGTAGAACTGGTTGCCCAAAAGACAAGAAGCTCAATGTTTTATCTCCCTCTCCTCCATCCTAGATTAAGAGTAATACTGCAGTGAGGGAGATCAAACGTGCAGCTGTGGAGTCACACGGACAATTCCCTGTGGCACTGCTGTAACCAAAGAAAACCAGAGGCTCCTCCGGTCTGGCCTGCAGTCTGGTGGTGGCCAGCACTAGGTGCTTCTGAGGAAGATGCATGAATCCCCACCACGGGTGACTCTAAAATAACCTGTTTCCCTGCCTCAGGCAGCCTGTGGTGGATTTATGCCCTGGAGCACGATTACCCAGATTTTTTGCTTACATAACGAAGTGTTAATACACTTATGAAATGCTATCCCTAATACTGTGGCCCATTAGTCCTGACAAGATGAGTGCTTCAGTGCTACTCTGAAAAATTAAAAATGCCACATTCAACCCATTTTAGTCTCTCTAATCCCCATGGGACTGGGGGTCACTCCCTGCTCTGCAGCAGGACTGCACACAGTACCTTCTAGACACTGCCCTTTGAAATAAACTTTCTGTTCCAGTCGGAATTTTTCCATTTGTTCTGCTGAGGAAAAGTTTAACTCCCGAGAGACTGCTTTGCATTTCAGGATTTTTTTAGGAACTCGAGCTGTGAAACAGATAAAGAAGCATTAGTTGGACACAGTAAAACAAACCAAGCTGCTTCAGGTGCCGTTATAATATACTTTGAAATAATGATTAGTGTTGGTACAAGATCCTAACAGCAGGAGAAATGCAAACACAAAGGACTTTGTTTTCACATTTGTAGGAGTGAAATCCAAGATGCAAATAGGTTAAGAACCTTGGCCAGAGCCAGGAATTAAACTTGTGATAGAACCAGGGATGCAGCTCTGATCTCTCAGAGATCTAAGCTGTTAGTTTTTACTAAACTCCACAATTCTTCAAGTCAAAATATGAGATGCAACTTAAAGTTTTACTTTAGGAAGTATGCTGAAGACCACAAGCCACCGAAGGGCTGCTCAGTACACCAAATGTGTTAGCCCTTCTCACTTCTCCTTCCCTCTCAGACTGTGTATCCCCAGCAAAACACAAGCAACTATTTTCTCAGCCCAGCAGCACTGTTTCAGCCATCTCACATAGCTCCTAAGTCATCCTGTAAAAGTACACAAAATGTCTGTTCCCTAAATATTGAGACCCACAGGCAGTAAAGTCAGTACCAAACCAGAGTTTCATAGAAAGTAATTTACCAGTCCAGGGTCTCAGGGTTCCTGCAGTAGATGAAGACACTAACAGCAAGTGGCAAACTGTACCTGGTAGATACTTCATGAGACTTTTTTTAGAGGTGGAGGAGTAAGAGAAGGGACAGTTTGGGAGTGCTGATTAATATCCTGAAAGGTTGTAATGAGGAGAATACAGGGGGGGAGTCAATATACTAAAAATCTCCCAAGCCCATCATACTTCAGTGGTGTGATTGTACATAATCCTTCCTGCGCACTGGAAAATGTTTCATGTGAATTTATTAGAAATAACGAGTGGAGGGAATACAGATGGCATCTGCTTTGTGAGCCAAATTATTCCTAAACAGACAGCGTATCAAAGCATCCACGAGCAGACAGCAGGCTGCTCTTTGATACAAGGAAGAGTCTACAAACCCCAGGCAAATCCACCTGATGTAGAACAGTTTAACAGGTAGGACCTTGATATGAAACCACCTTAGAGAGCTGGAGAGTCAGGGAATCTAAGCTACTATCCCATCCCACGGAGAAGGACGTGGCCTATGCTTTTTTAAAAAAGGAAAAAAAGAAGGTGAAAAAGAAAGTTTAAAGTGTAAGAGAAGAATTTTAAATGTAAAAGCTCTCTAATCAGTGTTATTATTTCTTTTTTTTTTAACTAGAAATCTGCATGGCACCATCCTTTACTGCTCTCACAAGTCCAGACTACAGCCTGTTGTGAATAAACATCCCTTTGCAGTTAAGAGTGAAATGACTTTGTTAAAACTATCCTGCAATTTAGTAATTACACTTCTTTCATCCCCAAGACAGACTGATGAGAATGCTTTGGTTTGATACTGTAAAACTACAAAAGAAAAGGTTACTTCTAATAAAAGTAGGACTGTGTAGTCTTTAAACCCCTGATCTAAGAGATTTTAATTGATATTTATACCATCAAGTAGAAAAGTTTAATAGAAATTATCTATTCTGAACTCATTTTACTTTTATACCTCTTTGCATTAAAAAGACAGAGAAGAGAAAGAAGTTTGACTCTCATCAGTTAGGTCCATTTTGAAACATGCTGAAATGCAGGTAAGCATCAACTTCATCCTAAACTGACTATTGTTTTTTGTTAACTAAAGGATATATTATATCTGCACATTTATTTAAGCACCTATATAGCTAACACACATATAATGAGATACTTAATTATCATTAGATTAGAAAGTGATGAATGAATGACACATTTCCTATTTACTAAGCAAGTTCTTTTGGGTCCAGCTGTGCTTAGTTAGAAACTGAAACCCAATTAAATATCCATGTCATTAGGCTTTCCTATAGTTCAATAAAACTATCTTAAATAATTGGGACGTGTAAGAAAGCAAGCTATCTGAGCCAAACTTATTTTAGATTACAAACTACATGTTTTTTTTTTAAGATAATGAAAGGATTATTTGTATTTCCTGAGTGAAAGCTGGTTGTGGTAACTGGAAACAACACTGGGGATTCTACAAGCGCTACACTTCAGCAGCTTACTCCAAGATTTGCTCAGATTTTAGAACTCAGATTTTACAGATTTGAATGCACTGTTGCTGAATTGAGCCTGCTGGGTACACAGAAAAGCTCCTGCTCTCGAAAGCTGATTTAGGTGGTTTTCCAGAATTTCCGGTGCTCAGGCTGTGATTTTCACTATTTTCAGCAGTTTAATGTAAAGACTTTGACAGCAATCCAATACTACATTAATATTGTTTTTATTTAATCTAATTGGCAATAGTAAGATTAGGTAGTAATACAGTATCATGATTTGCAACTTAAAGAGTTCATGTTTTAAAGAAATCTACTTAAATCCTTTTTAAACACAAATAGAAGTCCTGTTTAAAGGAAATACATTTTATTCACTCTGCTATATATTTCATTCTTTGCTTTGTCTAGGCTGTGAGTTGCCCTGAGTGGCCACAGAACACACACACACAAGCACTATATAATGACTTGGAGAAAGCCATGGTCTCCATTTTAAAACAGTTATTCTGACTGTGTGCCCTCACTGTTTCTGTTGCAGTACCTGTACCAGAACCAAACCTTCTTTTAATTCATAGTCAGTTCGTCCTGCTTTGTTGGGTACCTCTCCCCTTTCTTAGCCTATTTACTGAAAATAATCTATCCACCTCAGCCTTCTTTTCTTGCTAAGCCATACAAGAACAGCTTTTCTCCTCTCCTAAGGAAGACCATCTTCCCATTCATAACCTTTTCAGTGGCTTCTCCTAACAGCTCTTCTCGGCACCTGTTCCAGTTTGCACACCAGATACGGTCTTAACAACTCCTTGTACAATGGGCATTGATCTCATGCCAGAGTAGGTTTTAATTAACTCTCAAGCTCTTCTGATGAAGGTGAAGGTGCCTCCTTTATATGTGAGGAGAATCTGAGACTCAGTGAGGTGACATGATTTGCCAAAGTAGAAAGATGGCATGAGGGAAATGGGGCAACACAGGAGCCCCTCGTGAGGCCCAGCTCCAGCTGTCCTCTCTGTCCTCTGGCACATCTTTCCGCCCTGAGCTGTGGTGGTGCAACGGCCTGGTGAGACAGAGTGGAGAGGATTCAAAGAGTAGCCATGTGTCCAAGGAGAAGCTTTTTGCAGCACAAATTCTGGGAAGACTGGAAATATTTTTGACTGATTTTTTTCTGCTTTCTAAACCCTGATTGCTCATTTCTCCTCAGTCTCCTCTTACAGAGTTATTTCAAGAAGGCCAAGCATCACTAAACCACAGTGTAAGAAATTTAGTGCTAAACTGATGAATTAACACATTTCTTTTGAAAGCTGTGTATCAACTTCCCTACAGTTAGATACGAAGGTGCCGGAATGTTTTTCTTTAATATAGGTATCTGGTAGGATAGGCATGAGCAAGTATCTGTCAAGGCCTATTGGCAGAACTGGTTATTGTTAGCACTGGCATGAGAAGGGGAGCACAGGTTAGCAAGGCTGAAGGAGACAAAGCTTGGAAAATGCTCTTAGTAATCACTGAGTCAGAGCTTTGCTCTCCTCTAGCTCTGACCTGCATCCTCTATGCCTGCCCACCAGGCCCCTCTTAAGATGAGACAACCTACTACTGGCCCTATTAATGAAGCTTATCATAAAGCAGATGGATGTTGCTTGGGGACCAAATGAGTAGAAGGCAACTTGTTTCTCTTTTCAGCCAGCTTTGAAATCAGGTATACTGCTGGAAGATGACTGGACTCACAGTGCTTTGCCACAGATCTTCTCTATGCCCTCTGGGCAGAGGAGGATCTTTATATGCTGGTTGCCTCCTTCAGAACAGATTTGCCAGTTTGTGGGAGAGGTAAGTCTTAGTAGTGCCAGGCAGAACTCAGTCCTTGACATTTAACCAAAAATAGACTACTGTCACCAGCTGAAGTGCTGGGGTTAAACCCCCAGCCCTGAATGAGAGTTGGCAGATGGATGATGTCCAAAACCAGGACCCTCCTGATTGGTTTTCACCCAGGCTCTGGCCAGCCTTGGGTGGGAACTGATCAGGAGATCACCACCAGGTGCCCCC